TACTGTTTCATGGGTCCTCTGTGCCCACTCCTCTGAGCCAGTGTGTGATACCACTTAGCACTAATAATACCCGGCACACAGATTTTCAAAGAATATTTACTGCTACAGATGTTGCTGTATCTATTACACACAGACAGGTACAGTAACATCTATATATCTGTGTACTTACAGCAGTGCAGATCTATTAAAAATATATTACTTTCAATCTATCTATGTATACACACACACACATCTCTTCAATCTATATACAGATGTATAGATACATTTTAAATCAAACTGTGTCCTGGTTTATTGCAAACCAACAGGGCTCATCATCATGAGACCTTTAAATAGGACTTAGTTTGTACATGAATATTTCCCCATATTGATGAAGTCCTTCTAAGTATCAGATGTACATTTTAACTCCTCTGTACTGCTACAGGGTAATAAAGGTCTTTTATTTAACTTTCATTTTGATAGAGTTTAAAGTTAGTATTTGCGTATCAGAATTATTTCATTTCTATCATGTCAAAATTATTTCTATTTCTTAAGGAATAACAAAGATATCATCCTTCTTTACACAAACAAAATTATAGTATGAATTTTTTTAATATCAGATTTAATTTACATATTTTGTATATATTCATGATATAATTATAAAATGCTGATGCCCTGACCCAGGAATTTGCCTCTATCAAATGAACCAGGAAAAAAGGTAAGCTTTTATGGCTGTTACTAAAGTTGTTGTTATAAAACAACAGAACTTCCAATTATACAAACACTGTCACTTTAACAATAATTTTAAATATTGAAAGAGAACTATGATGCTATTTCAACATCAAAACACTTTATAATTGTCATCCACACTGAACAGCTACGTCCTATTTTTCCTATCAGTGGTGAAATAATGAGTGAAGTGAGAGAGCAGAGAGGTCAATTTCAATGAAAAATTTTACTTCCCCGCCAATGTTAGTTTAAATTATCTGTATTAAGCCCAATTTTCTACTGACTTTTATTATACATTGAAAAGGTACTACAATGAAAAAGTTACAACCACATGATATAATAAATAACTTTTGATATACATTTAGAATGACTCTTGGTAGGACCAAGGCTACTTGCAGCTGCCACATACTAGATGGCACTAGAATTTTCTTTAATTGGGTACTTGGGGTAGGGGCAGCAAAACTCCTTAAGTGGGAAGGAAAGAGATACTACAAACTACTCCCCCCTTAAAAAGTAGGAGGAGATAAGTTTCATAATGCTGATTCAAGATCATATGGAGGTTAAACAGAAAAACAAAAAACAAAACCCTGAGGGCTTCCCTGGTGGCACAGTGGTTGAGAGTCCGCCTGCCGATGCAGGGGACACGGGTTCGTGCCCCGGTCCGGGAAGATCCCACATGCCGCGGAGCGGCTGGGCCCGTGAGCCATGGCCGCTGGGCCTGCGCGTCCGGAGCCTGTGCTCTGCAACGGGAGAGGCCACAACAGTGAGAGGCCCGCGTACCGCAAAAGACAAAAACAAAACCAAAAAAACCCCCTGAAAACATGAGTTTGGAACAGGTTCCTAAATGGGCCATCATTTACAGGTGTGTTGGAAGGGCTGCTAACTACCAAGTTGTGGAAAGAACATGGCTTTGGAGCTGGAGGGGCCTGCACTAAATCCTCCATGTGCCTCTCGGCTTCCTATGATAACCTCTCTTGCGTAGACTAGTTCAGTGTCCCCCTAAGTGATCCTGCTGACCCAGTTTCTAACCATTCCAATCCATGCCCCACAATATTATCACAATTATTTCCTAAAAACCAATTCTGGTCATAGAGCCCTGTGCTTAAAAGCCATATTCAAGATAAAATAGCTAGCAAGGACCTTATTCTCATAAGGCTCTTGTCAATCTGACCCTAACCCACTTTTTTAGCCTTTTATACACTCTCCCCTCATTCACTGTATGCTCTGCCTTGATTCCAATTCTGATCTCATCCAAGGCCTTTCGAAACTCAGAATCTTTGCCATTCTGCTGCCTGGAATGCCCATTTTACCCTTTTTCATCCAACAAACTCCTCATTTTTTAAGGCCCAATGAAGGGTCCTCTCCACTAGGAAGTATTCTTTAACTCCCTCAGGAAATTACCCAACCCCCCTTTGTGATCCAAAGATATTTTATTTAAATCACTTACTGTACCGCATTGAAATTACCTGCCCAGCCCCGAGTGATCCCATGACTTCCTCTCTTCTCTTACTGATACCCACACAACTCCAACTGAGAGTACCTGTAAGGCAGGATTATCTTTGGATCCCCCATGCCCAGGATGTATCAAGTACCCAATAAATGTTTACCAAATTAAAAAATGAATAAATCAGTGAGTGAAGGACTACCTTAATGGCAGTCTGAGCATCTAGGACCCAAGAAGTTTGATAAATGAGATTCATGACAATGAGATTCAAATGAAGAGGAAACAGATGAAACGGAGGATGTGATTTCAGAAGGTGATAAAGTATGTTTTGTTAAGATATATGGGTGGGTGGGTGTGTGTGTGTGGGTGTGGGGGTGTGTGTGTATATAAAACTTAAAGTCCCCAGATGGCCATGAATAATAAATACAGATAATATTTAGGGGTACAAAGGTAAGAGTATTATTTACCCTACAGGCTGGAACTACTCTTTCTAAGCCATTATTATCTTGATGGGTCAAAATGTTTTTTGGCACATACTGTAAGTTAGAAAATGTGAACTATGTATCTGTCAAACAGTAACAAAGTACAATTTAACCTAGTACGTGGTATCAACTCCTCTGTGCCTCTACAATCCATTTATCTAAATCCTACTTAGTTGGAGGATTATAGTTCTCATATATCTAAATAGCTCTTTCCAAAGTTTAGGTAAAGTGGTTCACATATACAGTAAACAATGTACAAATCAGCTATCTGATTTCACAAAAGAAAAAAATTTCATGTGACATGTACATTTTCTTGGAAAGAAAAGGACACAAAGGAAGGAAATTAAGATCATGCCAAACAAGCAGTTAAAAACTGTCTAAATATAGATTTTTCCCCCCCCAAGTCCCTAAAGGCAGAACTGGCCAAGAATTCCAAAGAACCACTAAAAACAGATCTGAAATCTCAATGGAAACAGGAGGTTTCATAGTGACAGATAGGGAGGAGTTTAAGGAAATATAAACCAGCTCCTCAAAGATCCACGTAAAAAGGGAATGCGAGAATAATAATTTTTTAAAAGCCACGGTGGTAGAGTGGCTAAATGGATCACAAAGTACTTAAAATACAAATTACAAAGAATGTTATTACCACAAGGCCTCATCAAGTAAGAATAGAAATGGGAATTTAACTAGTATCTCCCCCAAATAACTAGAATTTATTTATTAGCCTTTGAAATAAATATAAACATTCCCTAGATTTTGGGAAAACTCTTGCTAATCTTTGACCTAACTGTTGGTATATACCAGTTAGGACTAGGAGTGAAGGAAACAGACATACGTATTCACTGATTTTTAAAGAAATTAGAAATGAGAAGACTAACTCAACCAAAGTCACAAGGATTTTAAACCTCCCTCCCCTGGTCTTATGAAATAGAAGACATTTCTTTATGAAAAAGCAAAATCTTGATCTCAGTTCACAACACGGTACAAAATTTTATTTCTATAATAGTAACACATGTTTATGACCTATGATAATCATAATTGAACTTGGACTCTAAATTTTCTGATAAAATCACCTACTTAAGCCTTAGCAGAAGAAAGAAGGCTACCTGTTGATAGCTGTTTATAGTTTACACTTCACTGACTCCATTTCTACTTACGAACATATTGTAAATTAGTGACAGAATGCAAACTCGCCACTAAGTTAATTCTCAATTTGATAATCCCATTAACCAAAAGGTGAGACCAACTTCTAGCATCATGCATGTATTTAGAATTTATCTGAAATACAATAATCATATCTGCCTGATTTTATAATAAGGAAGAAAACCCTAAAAACTGCAAATAATGTCAAATGAAATATAAACTTCCAAACAACACTGATAAGAAACAACTTCATGGGAAAGTTTATATTCAGTGATATTGGACTTTTACATCTTTTTTTCTCCTTAAGTGTCCTTTCTGGAAATGAATGTCAGCTATTTATATACAACCCTTACTTTATAAGATTCAACTTCTGACCCACTTTTCCTAGATAAAAGCAAAACTAAGAAAGCTTATATTCTTTAAATTTCAGTATTTTATGGCTTTATTTGTTCAAACAAGGAACTTAAAATTATGTGAACTATGAATAAGTTATTAATTAGCAAGTGAAGTTACAAAATGTATCACTGTTTCTAAATTAACATAGTGATAATAGTGGTTAAGAGCACGGACTCTAACCATTATGCCTCAGTTCAAATACCCAAACTGCCATTACCAGCTCTGTGACCTTGAACAAGTGACTTAACCTCCCTGTCCTCAGTTTTCCAGACAGTAAAATAAGTGGGACTAATGATGGTACCTACCTCACAAAGCTGTAGCTAACCAAGTTAATATAGCTAAACTGCTTAGACAGCTAGGGTGCTTAGAACAGTAACCTTGATAGATGTTTGCTGTTACTTAAATCCATAAAGGAAGCTGAGAAAGGTGTTGCACACGTTTCATTTTATCTAAATTTTTCTTTTAAAATATTTGAAGGAAAAAACATCCTTTCCTCCCTTCAAAACTCCCACAACCCTAAAGAAATTCTACAACTACCGCCTGGATGATAAATATCAGTAATTCCTGAGATAAAAGGCCACACGGATGAAAGTTATTTTTCTCTTTCCTAATTCAATAAAACACAATTGTGTTAACTTTTAGGGCATTCTGGAATTTGGAGCATTTGTCAAATAACAGAATTCTTAATTACCCTTAGGCTATAATATTAAAATTTTTAGTTATTCTTTCTCCATTTGTCTTCAGCTCATTCTGCACCCAAAAGGTATGGGGGTGGAGTAAAATGCCCCCCCCAAAACCCTCATGCTGATATAACTGAAGGCCGATACTACCTTTATCACTTCCATAATAATAGAACACTGTTTTACTGAGAGCACACCACCGTTTCTGCCATTCAAATCCCAGAAAGCTGTGATCTACAATAAAGAGGGAAAAAGAACAGTTTAGATAATATATATTACCTTTATAAATATAATGCAATTCCCTTATTGAAAAAGGAAAAGTTAGTTAATATGATTTCTAAGGCTCCTTTTAGCTGTAAAATTCTACGACTAAATAATTTGTATCTTCTTTTCCAAGAGACAAACAAAAAACAAAACATAAAACAAAGCTAAAAGGAATACACTAGGAATGTAAATTGATACAGCCACTATGGAGAACAATATGGAGGTTCCTTAAAAAACTAAAATTAGAACTACCATACGACCCAGCAATCCCAATACTGGGCAGATACCCTGAGAAAACCATCATTCAAAAAGAGTCATGTACCACAATGTTCATTGCAGCTCTATTTACAATAGCCAGGACATGGCAGCAACCTAAGTGTCCATCGACAGATGAATGGATAAAGAAGATGTGGCACATATATACAATGGAATATTACTCAGCCATAAAAAGAAACGAAATTGAGTTATTCGTAGTGCAGTGGATGGACCTAGAGTCTGTCATACAGAGTGAAGTAAGTCAGAAAGAGAGAGACAAATATTGTATGCTAACACATATATATGGAATTTAAGAAAAAAAAATGTCATGAAGAACCTAGGGGTAAGACAGGAATAAAGACACAGACTTACTAGAGAATGGACTTGAGGATATGGGGAGGGGGAAGGGTAAGCTGGGACAAAGTGAGAGAGTGGCATGGACATATATACACTACCAAACTTAAGGTAGATAGCTAGTGGGGAGAAGCCGCATAGCACAGGGAGATCAGCTCAGTGCTTTGTGACCACCTAGAGGGGTGGGATATGGAGGGAGGGTGGGAGGGAGACGCAAGAGGGAAGAGATATGGGGATATATGTATACGTAAAACTGATTCACTTTGTTACAAAGCAGAAACTAACACACCATTGTAAAGCAATTATACTCCAATAAAGATGTTAAAAAAAAAAAAAAAGGAATACACTACAGCAGAGATGGGACTGCTACATTTATGGGATCAACTACATGGCTAACAAACTTTCCTGACAGGAAACAGTCAGAAAGGTATTTGACTATAAAGCCTTAAGATAATTGATTCATCAGGGTCTCATTTTCTCATCTGTCATAAAAAAGAGGGAGGAGGAGTTGACCTAGATTTCTATTATCTCTTTCAGCTTTAAAATTCAGCTAAGAAAGCTAAGAAAAGAAAATGGAATATAAATAGGAAGGCCCAAAGGGACTACCTGAGAGATAAGCAGAATGGTAATGAAGAGACTTTCCGCTTTTCATTTCCCGTATCATAACACCACCTCCATATTTCATTTTCATTTTATATTGGGGTTGAAAGAGTGAGACCATATGGTCAACTCCCAATTATCTTAGCCAATGGAAAGGAACACTGGATGATTAACAGAAAATGGTAGACAATATGCTAAGCTTGATCTGAACCGTAGCAAACATGGCGTATGCCAGGTCAGGTACAGATAACCCACTGCTCAGCTGGGTGGGATAAGTGTGAGAAATCCCATCCTTGAGAATACAGTCATGGCCCATGGCTCTCCTCCAAGAGGCAGGAAACAGCTTTAAAATCATTTACAAATAACCAAGGTTGACAACAAAAAACCTGACCAAATGTTTTATTTTGTTATTAAAAATTATTTAGAGCTAAAAGCTGTATTTTGTGGTTTGGATAATATCATCAGGTTTTCTTAGAGTCTTAGATTTTTAGGTTTTTCATTAGAATCATATGATTTACCTTTTCTGCGTTTTTCAAGGTAGCCAGCCTTTAACACAAAAGGAAGGTCCTGTGCTGCAACTGGAGGGAACTGGTTCCCTACGGAAAGTAAACGGGAAAAAGCAGTGAGCAATCCATTTTAGAAAAATCAAGTATCAGATCTCACAGATTCAGTATACTTTTAATTACCCAAATTAATTAAATCCAAGTCTATTAGCTTTGTTTCAGATCCATTCCATAGATTAGTCCCTCTTCTCCTGTGAATCTCAAGAGCAAAATAATGTTCTGTATCGTTATATCTTAATATATTATGTTCCCAAATACACAGTAATATTATGTAACAGAATGAACTCTAAAGGGCAATATTTTTCGACCTACATTCTATAATGAATGGACTAGGAAACTGTTATAAATAAGTGCAATAAACCCCTGAAAGAGAAGTTAGGAATATCAAATAAATCATATAAGCTTCTTTACATTGGATTAACTCTTCAAGAATTTTAATGCATATTAATTCTTGCCTACATAAGAATGCCTATCCCTATTTGTACCTAGTAAAACATAAAATGATTTTTCCCCCAAATCAATTGCTATAATTTGAGTACATAGCAAATATTCTCTCTTCCTGGTTATACTCACAGAGAAATCTTGTGAATGAGTATGCTTTAGGGTTTTCTAGGGCATTTGAGAGTCTAAAACTAGGTAGATAGATCTGATAGAACTATCATAAACAAACATTAGATACTTACAAAAATTTATAGATTAAGCCGAAAGCTAAGTCAATTAGAAATCATATATTCATGATCATGGATGGTAGGTTGCTCAATAACTTCAGAGTTCAATATTTTTACAGACTTCATTAGAAATATACTACAGTTGCCTCAGCATTTTACTAGAACTCCAACAGGTGAAAATAACCAATCTAATGAAAGTTTCTATGGAATACACCAACAGAAATAGTTTTCATATAGTTTATGATAAAAAGTATTTTGATAGGAAGTTTATTATATACAAATTCATCACAGAATTACCAACTGGGTTTTTAAAAAATATCCAGTAGTTATAAAATCATAGTTATTTTTCCTTAAGAAATAAAGCTTCAAATTAAAGCACTAATTTCAGTTCCATGGTAGATCAATTTTGCTCAGTAAACACAAAACAATATCATTAAAATATATTTAAAATGGGGAGTAATTTTGAAATACATATAAAATTTTAGGGAAAGTCAGTGTAAATGTTTGAATAGTTGTTCAATGTATCCATTTGATCCATTGAAGGTAGAAGTTATATAGTATAATTTTTTTGTACATAAAATAAAAATCACATAAAGAAATCTCATCTATGTGAACAAGTCCTAGTTAACCACTAAATTAAAGAGGGTGACTGTTTTGATTTGTTTGTTTGATTTGTTTGTTTGATTTGTTTGTTTGATTTGATTTGATTTGTTTGATTTGTTTGTTTGATTTGTTTTTTTAAAAGAAAAGAAAAACAATGATTAACAGCACTTTTTAAATTAAACTAGGTTACACTGACAAAAAATAAACATAGAAATAGTGTATCACATAGAAATATGAAATTTTAGCTAATATAAAACCATTCGGGAAAGTTTTCTTTCTAAATAAGATTCCTGAAAACAAAGTATTTACTTCTTCAACTAAGCAATACCATAGTTTAGTTTCTGTGGAAGTATGCTTGTGCTCAGTCTTTTATATAACTGGCACGTAGAGTTCTTAAGTGAACTACACAAAATTTCTTTGTGAAAAGCATCATTTGGATGACATTTCAGAATGAGAAAGCAAACATATTAATTAAATACTATAACATGATTGTTGTATGTCATGAAAAAATTTCCAAGTGGTTTGTCCACAGTGGTAAAAGTAAGAAGATTCACTGCAAACCTCCTATAAATAATTTTGTATCTTTCAGATGATGGAAACAAACTCTTAAGCACTGTCCATTCTGGATGAAATTAAACTACACAAGGAAGAGGCAACTTTTCAGTCTTCAGGTCTGATGTAATTGGGCACGGGGGAGGCATTAATTACCTCTATTTGGCTAGATAAGGCTCATTGAGAAGAAGTCCCATGACCCTCTCATATCCATTGATGCATAATGAATGTTCTTTACATATAAAATAAATGCTCTAAATCTTACGAAGAAACTTTATATTCTGAAGAGAAATGGGTACCTTTAGCATAGTTTTCAACTTTAAAAAGTTACTGGTCAAAAGAAAAAAAAAAGGAGGGGGAGAAGTGGAAGAGGAGGAGCAGGAAAGGAATTAGAATTTACAAAGGTGAATATATACATAACCTGAAGCTTTTGCTTTAAGAAAAATGTTGATTAAATTTCTACCTGATAAATCAATAAAATCTGATGTCACAAGCAACACTTATTCTGAATTCTAAATTCATGTTTCTAATATAAAATCTTTTATTTGATTCCTAGAGGGAAAAAAGGCAAATTTTCAGACTGAAATTTCGTTTTTCTAAACCTCTTCTGCTATTTGTCCAACATCTAGGATTTGTTTAATATACATGTGAATTTTTTTAAAAAGTGTATTAATAGTAATCCCTTTAGATACTTCAGATTTTAAGTTCTTAGAAGAACCATTTGACTTGTATAACACCATAAACATATAAACAATTAATACTTCTTGATAGAAATTGAAAATTTGTAACAAGATATAAAAAGTAGTAAATTATCTTTAAAAAACATGAACTCTCACATCATTTAGACCTCATACCACTATGATGTCTACAATGATCAATAGTATGTCACCATTTAAGAATATTCACATTGATTCAAAGAATTAAGACTACAAATGCAGGTATAATAATACATGAAGAAAAGAAAGGTAAGGCTAATATAAACCAATCTGGAAGGCATCAACAAAGAGCTGCTGAACATTTGCCAAACACAGTTATATTATCTCACTATTTACAACATTCCAACAAATTCACAATTATATTATCAGCTCTGTTTCACTATCAAAATTCACACCCTTGTCCCAAAAATAAGTTTAGCACTGAGCCTTAATCCTCTGGCACATAGTAGGCATTCAGTAAATGTTGGCTTTTATTAATTATAATTAAATATTATTATATTTAGTATAACTAAATATTAATTCAAATGAATGGATGCCAATGTAAAAGTAAGACTAATGTTGCTTAGGGAATTTTAATCAGAAAAATGGAAAAATGTATGATTTGGTAACTGCATGAGTTAAGCATTGTAGTTATTTTAAAAGCAGCTCAAAGATTTCCTTTTGGTTACATGAAAGTGGTTGATGAAGAAATTATATCCTAACTCAGAGGAGAAAAATTAACCTATAATCTAGGACAGCTTATTTATACTGCAGACGGTTACTGATACATGGCTTCCTTAAGTGGCCACAAATGTTCACTACCCTGAGGAAATAAACACATACTGAATAGACTAGTCTTCTTTTAATAAAATGAGCATGTATTTCTTATATAAGAGTCCTACTTTTCTAAAGAAGATCAATATTAGACATTAAAACTAACATCCTACAAGAGCAGACAAGGAATGGGTCTTCTTCCAATTGGACATTTGGGAATCCAAAGTATACAAAATGGTAACAAGGTCACAAAAAATTCAAATAAGCAAGTGTCACATGCCTACTATATTCCTATTAACTCAGTAGGAGAAAGGAAGTAGTGGAGTCCAAATTTCTTATAGTTAGGTAGGTATTTTATTCACAAGACAACTGTTTTTAAAAGATAACTCAAGAATTCTAAACTGTGTCTGGAAACTTTTGCCTTAAAATCAAATTGTGTATATAATGGACATAGTCCACCAGCAAGCTAAAAGAATGGAGTCTAGAATCTGAAAAATGGAGAAGAGTTCCAAAGTATGAAAATAAAAAACAAATTACCTAAAACCTAAGTAAGGTATTACCCAATTTTAGCAATTTTTTTAATCTATTGTTTTAACTTTTTCCCTTGAATCTAGGGTAAAAAATACTAGAATGTTTAAATATATCCAACGTATTTAAGAAATAAGTTTTATCTTTAAAAATGTTTTAAATATTAAAAATAATTATTTCAAAATGAAAAATAATTATTTCAACTTCAGAGAAAAATATAAACTGTCTTAGGCAAGAAGTATCTATCACTTAGGCTTATTTCAGATGTTAAGTCGGTTGGGTATAAAACCAACCTTGGCATTAACAAGGTATGCAGTTTCATTCCTATATGCAAGACAGGGAAAGGTGGAAAAATAGGTCCAGATCACGGAATGCTTTAGTTAGAAGAAAAGGCCTAGAACAGCATGGAAACCCCTTGAGTAAAAGAGGAAGTTAGGGTAGGGAAGAGAGAGAGTTAAGAGTTGAGGGAAGAAAGAATTAGAATTGAGGGGAGAAAGAGGTCCTATCACCCTTTCTTTTTTGTACCTCTTTTCTTAAAGTAATCTAAAGAAATAAACTTTGTTTAATTCACAATTTTATCCAGCATTGGGTGTCTCAATGCCATATTCCTGAGCCTTCTCCAACATTGACATGTCTTCTAATCCACTCCTCCCCTGCCACACACACAAACCCATATTAACTGTATCCCACCCAGTCTGACACCTCTTTAAACGCATTTATTTTTTGAAGACTTAGAGTGAGGCATCACTTCCAAAGTGCAACTTAAAAGTGAAGATTTTTTAAAAATCTGTACAAGTTTTAACTACTGAGTTCTGGAATTAACTTTTTATTCAGTTTCCTTTCTACCTACTTGGCTCTTAATGTGGGACTCTCAACAGGTGTCAAGGGATGTGAGTGATTCAGAGACCTTTTCAAAATAGACATCTGTTTTTCATTATCCTTATTTTTTGATATGCAACTTGGTGGTGACCAATTTAAATGCTCAATTTCTATGAAACCTAAAGCATCATTTTTACTATTTTAGCATTAAAATTATTATAATACTATGAGCTTCACTATATTAATATGGTCACAGTTTTATGGTTGTTCAATCTAGAATTTGTACAAAATCCTACTAGGTTTCTGAGTCTCATCTTTTACTGGCTTTTTCCTTCATTACTTGGCATTTGTATAGTTTTCAACATGAACATTAAATTTGCAATAAGTTTCCCTC